TTTAACTGTTTTGTAAAAGAAAAGAAATATCGATCGCATTTTGAGTACCCTATTTTACTTGCTCGCCAACACAATGCCAACACGTTTTATATGACAGATTGTTTAAATGTGAAAAGCACATCCAGTAACTTCGGTATGATTCAGCATGGATTCAGAGGCACAGAGTGTTCAAAGACAGCCTTTTTACAGATGATTTTATCAATTTTAAAATAGTGTGAAATGAAAAAAACTGGTTTCTTCATCATGCTGGAAAAAAGGGGAAAGAACTGGGTTATATTCAAGGGTGGTGGGCAGGGCAGCACATTCTGTTCCCTCCCCTCTGTGGACAGACAGACTTACATCTTATTGCAGTCAAAACCCAACATTTTTCACAATCCCTTAGTTAAAATGAAATCTCACCATGTGGTTGGTGGTTAAGGAGCTAAACAATCATAGATGCAGCTCACACTGATCGAAACTGGTTTAAATTCAATTTTGGTCCAATAGAAAGAGCCAGGCATTATCATTTTTATGTGCAATGACTTTTTATAGTGAAAGAACATCTTCAAAATAGCTTTGGCAGTAAATTTTAGGTCCCATTTCATGTGGGTTTTTAAAAAAAGTATGATAATGTAATACATGCCTTTCCCCCCCTTAGAGTTTCATCCAGAACAATAAATTCTAGAATGATTTTCATTAAAAGAAATACCAATAGATTTTAAATTTGATTCTCAGTGAAACAAAATAAAAATGAGATTTTTCTAAAAGTCAGTTAAATATAATGTTCAAGAACTCCAAATTTAAATTACAATTACTTTTATAAGAGTGTACTGTTAGGTAAAAATATATTAAGTATCTACAGGGCTATATATTAAAGTTAGTATTAACTGTGGAAAAATCATATCCCTTAGGGACTTTCATTATAATAGAGAAAAAGAGACAAAATATTAAACTAAATAAATAAGTTTATTTAAATCTAATAATTATAGGAGCATTGCTATGTTTTAGACACATAACTTTTGTTCAAGAAACACATTTTGAATGAATGAATACTTGCTTAGAAATTGTCCCTGGGGTTGGAGAATGGATAGTGTGGTGAGGGGGTGGGCAGCAAATACATTTGGTAGTATCAACTGGCTCTTACAAAACTTTCTAACTTTTCCAGGAGTTGGGCGAAAATGAGATGTTTAAGGAACCTAGAAAGATACATGTGTTTGTTAATCATGCCAATGGTTAGGCTAATTTTTATTATTTTATTCCAGATGCTACTTTGAGTGTATTATCTACTTTAGACAAGACAGGTAATGTCAAGTTATTTCTAAATACAATAGCTTGTGGCTCCTTGAGTTTCGCATTTGTATTGTCTTTTAGGTTAATAAAGGTTTTCTCCTTGCCCATTTCCTATGCCTTCAACTGTTGATTTATTACTTGTTTTACTTTGACATTGAACTATAATTCTGGTGTCACCACACACCTGAACTTCTAAACTACTATGGCCAGAGCACTCCATTCAAAGTAACATTTTTTTTATTATAATAGTAATATATCTTAGCTCATAAAAAAATGGAGAACATAGAAAATAAAAAAAGAAAATAGAGTTCATCTCAAATGTTACTTTCCTAAGACTATTAATGTTAATAATTTGGCATATTTCCATTCAGTATCATATATACATATACACTGTATATATATTTACAAAATAGTCATAGTTTATCTAGATTGTTATATCTTTCTCTTTTGACTTCGATATTAAGTTGTATTTTCCAGTGTCCCTTACTATTAATGACTTGATAATATTCTATAACGTATTATATGTTAACCATAAAAATTGTTTCTACTTTTTTAATAGAAATTGTTTCAATAAATATCCTTGTGCCAACATCTTTGCATTCATCATCCCTGATTTCCATAGGCTGCATTCCGAGGATTGAACTTAATGAGTCAGCATTATGATATTTTAAGACTCTTGATACCTACTGCTCAGTTACCTTCTAGAAATTATTATATTCAGCAACATTCCTGCCAGCATGAATGAGAATGTCTGTGTCGCTGTACCTTTGCTGAGAGCTGAGTCTATATATTATGAAATCTTTCTCTCAATTCTTTAGGTCCTATTTTGCATTCTTGATTATTAGTGAGGTTGAACATTTTCCCCCAAAAGCACTTTTGTTACTAGAACCAGAAGCTCATTTCACAGTAATGTATTGTTTGCTCTGGAAATGAAAGCATCAGGGCAAATAATGTATTTAGAGGATTCTTAATGATAATGCAAATGCTATCAACCTCTAAAATTACCTCGAATCATTCATTGCCCATGGGTCAGTCACACATTGAAACAGAAACTCATCAATAACACGTACACAAATGAGGTTTCCGAAACAGTATAATGTTATCATTCTTAAGTACTTCTTCAAGATCTGAGCTTTGTGTTTTCTTCAGAATTTGCCACTCACCCTAGGAGACAGAGCTTCTTTGCAAATCTGTGGCCTGAACACAGCCTCTTCTAACTGGCCATCCTTACAGAAAGGATTTGTGAACCTGGTTCTCCATTATCTGGGAAATGAACCATGGACTCTGTCCCCAAAATGTGTTGGGAAGATATTTCTAAGGTTTACTTCTTCAGAGTTTTAATATTTACCTGTGAGTCATTGACTTTGAATAGTCCTTAGTCTCAACCTCTCTGAGAATAATTTTATCTATCAATACAAGGGGGATAATATTAACTCAGAGAAGATAGCAGGACACTTTCTTGATTGTATAGTAGCAATATTTTAGATCCTGTGCTTACTGTTTCCATTAATTTTTATCTGAATCACCTGCTCTTTACAACCTATCACCTGAAGGTCCTAATAGTGACTTAATTCTACATATCCGAAGTGTAAGTCCACATTAATTTGTCTAGCAGCAGCACCTGGAAACTGCAGAATTACACAAGCAATGAGGGTTTGTAATGGGTGTGATCTAACTGGGTAAATATGGGAATCCAGATCCCAGACCCATCCTATGCCAATGCTATATGATCCGTGTATGCAATTCTCATTCATTCCGCTGCTGAGATGATCAAGTGTCTTAAAGGTGCCAACAGTATGATTTTCTTAGCACTTCACTAAAATAGTACTCATGGCAAATTGTTTTTTAAAAACAAGCAACAATTCTGCTCTAATATTTAAATTGCTTCTTTGCAGAAAAAACTAAAATCACTATAGTAAAAACCTTCAATGCATCAGGTATGACTTATTATCAATATCAAGACTTTCTTTTTTATAACTAAAGTAAAATTAAACAAATGGCTGGTGTTAATGTTTTCTTTCTCTTTTTTTCTACCTTTAAAAAATGAAATCTGTTCTTAATGAATAGATATTTATGTACTGGGTATCTGAAGTTGAACTAAGTGTTTGGGACTATATTAGTAATGATTAGACATAATGCCCACCCTCAATAATCTTCTAGTTTATGGGTGAGACAAGGCAAACAAACAGATAATTGACATGAACATATCTGCAGATAAAGGCAATGATTACACAGTGTTTCTGACATGGTTAAGAGGCATGGGAGACAGAAGGGCTAATGATAGTCAATGGGATGCAGTTTATGAAGGAAAGATCCTTAAAGGAGTGAACCTCAAACTCTTTTTAAATAAAAAAAAAAAAGGATGTACTTTTAAGTACCTAGTGCAGCATTAGGGATACATGATGTGCTTAACAAAGGTTTCTGGTTGATTTAAAACAGAGGTTGACTATGGTCTAAGGGCTAAGTATGGCCCACCACTTTTTTTGTAAATAAAGTTTTATTGGAAAACTGCCATGCCCCCCCCCTTTTTTTTTTACATATTGTCTATGGCTACCTTTCTTCTACAATGAACAGTAGAGCTGAATAGTTGTGATGGAGATTATGTGGCCCACAAAGCCTAAAATATTTACTATTTGACCCTTTACAGGCAAAGTTTTCTCACTCATGACTTAAAGGACAACCTATGGCCATGTACTTGGAGGAAATTACAGATAACAGCCCTAGCAATAGGAAAGAAAAATTCTCAGTATGAATGAGCAGCAAAAGATACACATTACTAGAAACAAAGGTGCCACTAAACTTTAAAGGTGAGATGTGATAGAATGAAAAGCCTAGTAAGCAATAGATCAATGGTTGTAAAAAATATTTAAAGCATTACTACCCACCATCTATATATCTTATAATTTCATAGTGTATATTTCTAGTGAGTTATATCCATAAGCAAGTATATTTAAAATGAAAATTTTCTCTTTTGATGTGGGTAACATTGCTGTGGAACAATATAGGAATCTATAAGTCAGGCAACTTTTTGGCATCTAAATTCAGTTTGCTTGCAGAATCAAAACTTTTAGCTGAACCATGATGTCTATGTACCAAGTGTCAACTAAATCATTCTGGCAGAAATCATGTCACACGCTCTAATTCAAATTATAATTTTAGTTTGTGTCCAAACTAGTTCTCTTAGGAAAGAATTAAGCAGTCATAAAGTACAATGGAAATAAAATAGCCATCAGGCCTTGCATACATAATTCTGACCAAACCAGACATAACAAGGAAACCAATATATTCCTTAATATAATAACCTCTTCCCCTTGGCAGTTTGCTTGGTACATTATCGGCATTTGCCCCTCACATTTACTATAGATTTCTTACACTCTGCCAAAAGGATAAAATTAATGAAGGAAAGATTCTTAGAGGAGTAAACCTTGAGCTCTTTTCAAATCAAAGAAGAGATGTACTTCTCCCTTCACCAAAGGTGAAAGTGTTTCTCAGGTTAATATGTATGAAGTTTTTTGTTCTAATGTGGTTTATTTCATCTCCCATCATCTCTGCCTCCTGTGTATGCCTATGTGGTTTGTTGTCTTAGCCATCACTCTATTTTGCCCTCACTATAACTTTTTATTTACTGGCCAGTATCACTCATTAGATTGTAAGCTCGTTGAGGGCAGGGTCTGTATCTGAACCTCCCAAAGCCTGTAGAATATGGTAGGTGCTCAGAAAATATTTTTTGAATTTTGTAATTTTTGCCCATGTGAAATATCATGACACTGCTATTTCATAATATATTTGCATAAGGAGCATTAGATTGCTAATGCACCCACCTACCCAGAAAGGAAGGAGAATTTATGAGTAAGGGCTAGTTCATTTAAAGCCTCTATGCTCAATTTGTATTCATATTTTTCTATTTATATTGGACAAGAGAGGGGTTAATTGGGAATAGGATAGAGAAATTTTAGGGAGGAGTAGAGGATCAAACACTGACATACTAAAGAATAGTGAAGAATCAAGTTCCATAGCTGATCAATTAAGAAATGAAAATGCTCATTCCTTCAGTCTTTGTGGAATTCATCCAGCCAATTATATCAACTTATATTTTTGTTCCACATTTGATACCTAATTTTATGAATTCTCTTGACAATGTAGTATATAAGTGAAGGTGTTGACATGCTTAATTGGTTGGATTGTGTTTTCTTTGCAGGAGTCAAACCTCAGAGAAATATCTGCAATTTGTCATCTATTTGCAATGACTCAGGTTAGTTCTTGTGCATATTATATGTTACCAGATAAATTAGCTCCACAGAGAAAAAATGGTTGTTTTTCTCCTGATGAGTATGTGATGTGTGCCTCTGAACTGTCTCTTCATACCACCTGGCTACTACGAGTCCCGAATGAAAACAAAAGCAATTTAGATCTGGCTGAAATTATCTTCCCCTTGCCTAGTAAGATGATAGATTAACTTCCTTAATATGAGAACATGAAACTCTACACCAAATATTTTTCACCACAGCTTTAAATCTGTATCTAATACCCTTAGAGTTGATTCATGAACATAATTAATAATGAACTTAATTATTGAAAGCCACTTCTTACATATAAATTCCTCAAACTTTTCCATAGGACCTTAAGTATTATTGCTTAGAAACAAATGTTGTCTTTTGCTAAAAATAAAATAAACCACTCTACTAGAATGTTGAAAATCTCACATACACCTGGTTTAATTGGATGCTAATTCCAGTAGTGCCCATAGTGTTTTGCCATCTCTAGCTAAGATTGCCCACTATTTTTAAAAATTGAGATGGAAATCTCTTGAGAACGTGCTGTTTTTGAAATGGGAATATTTTCCCTTCTGCCATGGGCCAGAAGTAATGAAACAACCACTTTCTTCATCTTGGTTTGGCTCTCTGGGCTCCTTTCCTTGTTAAAACCAATGAAAGCAGATGTGAAAAAGAGAAAAATATAGTGTGGCATGTCAGAATTGGATCATGGGAAGAGAGAAGAGGAAGGTAACAAAACGTTTTATAATATTAAATCTTAGCATGACTCCACTGATATAAAAAGAAACAATTATTAGAAGAATGTTTTCTTTTTATTCTGTTCCCTTTAATGCTTTAATAATTTATTTAAAAATCATAGGAAACAATTTCAAGTAAAATAAGTTAAGGTTGGATAGTTTAGAAAACAAGAAAACTTTGTTAAAAGAATGTTCCACAAACTTTCTATTTGTGTGAGTGTGAGATTTGCTTACATGAACTTTCTGCTGATAGTATGCTGGTAGAATATAGCAGGAAAATATTAGCTGGCTTTGATTAAAGAAAAAAAAACCTTGTTGGATACATTTCACTTTCGTATATTGTGTAACTCTTCTCTCCTTCTTCCCTCCCTTGTCTCTTACCCTTCTTTTACTGAATTCTCCATAATTTCTTTATTTTTGTGCTTCATCTATGTTTGGGCTGATGACTAATGTCTACTTTAGTGTTGTGTCTACGTGATGTTTGATAACTGTTTGAAAATTGAACATTTAGTCAAAAAAAAAATGGTCATCTTGAATAACAGATTCCAGAAAGCTGGTTGGAGTAATGTTTTCCCTAATTAAGTGACTGAATTGACCATTTGTTTTAGTGTCTGTTAAAAACAACCTCATCGGGGGACCAACTCTTTTGGCACCATAAATTCCACAATACCCTGCCAGCAACTAGAAACCTTCACTTCTTGCAGGTTCCAATCTGGGTTCATTAAGGAAAATGGAGGCTAGTGAAGAAATTGGTAGCTGATCAGGCAGAGTTAGGCTGAAGGTCAAAGCTGGTGGCTACCACTGTGCTCCCAGCACATTTATGAAACTCAACATGCCCTCAACAAGACTGAAGGATGAACTTGGAGGAGAAGTGAGGGAAAGAAATTGTGGGTGTTGGCACATGCGCACACATACACATGGATTTTTTTAAAAAAATGGATAAGTAACTCTATGTATATATCAAGTATCTTTACTTTTAATAATTATATACTATATTAATTGAAATTTCAGTATAAAAATGCAGAAGTTTGAGTTCTCAGTAGAAAAGTCGCTGGAATAGATAAATCATATTAATCTCTGGTCTAATGGCTTTGTTGGCCATTTTAAGTGGAAGTGAACTATTGAGAACCAGGCTATGGGAATCAGTTGTACTTTGGGATGCAATAAAAGAAGATGAGATGAGGAGGCCTTCAAAACTCTCTAGCTCAGGAGTCAGAAAACCGCTGCCTATAGTCCAAATATAGTTAGCTACCTATTTTTGTAAATAAAGTTTTATTGGAACACAGCCAGGCCTGTTCATTTACGTATTGTCTTTGGCTACTTTCGCGCTACAACCACAGAGAAATTTCAACAGAAACCATATGTATGACCCACAAAACCTCAAATATTTACCTGATAATTCACAAAAAAAGTTGGCTGACCCCTGCTCTCTATGACATCCTTGCCCTTCTGCTCAAGAACCAATGTTTCGTCTTTAGGTTATGAAGTGCACGTAATGTACTTCTGTTAGGGGAGGTCTCTATTTTATTTGTTTCCAGATGAGAGTCAAAGCCCCTCCAAGTACACCCTGCAGGAAACAGTTTGACTGAAATTGACTTCAGTATTTCCCAAAGTGAGCATTTTAAGAACAGGGTTTTCTGGCATTTCTGGGATCAATGTCACAATGAGTTGTTCAACTGACGAAAGGGTTTGCCCTGCACCCTATCCAAGTTTCAAAGCAAAATCTCAACTTTGTTTCTGGGAACAATAGTCTATTTGGTAGCTAAATTTTCAAAAAGAGAGAAACAAAAACACCAGTAAGAAAATGAATAAACTTGCAGAAGGCTGCTAAACTGAGAAACGCTTTTCTCGCCCTCCCTTATCTATGTAACTACAGCTATATCAACTTTTTTTTTTTTTTGGCTATAACAACTTTAAATAAAATATTTTTTTAAATGTTAACTTTAGAGCCACAGTTCCCCTAGTTAGCATTGTTAGGGGAAACCAAGTTCTGAGAGAAGCATGTAGGGATAAAATTTCTTGACAAGGGACAAATGTTCTCTTTCTGCATTCCTATACAAAATTTATAGTTCATATTTTCTGAAAATTATATTGAATAGCTTTCTGATAGAAAAAACAGTAAACGTGAATAACAACAGAATTTGATGACAATTTGTTTATAAAGTAATTTGGTAATCTTTTTCTGTGTTGTATTAATCCTCAAGCTCTAAGAATGCAAGCCTCATTTCTTTTTGAAAATTTATTTTTAGCATTTTTTAGAGGTGAGATAATGTTTCAATATGATGAAGAAAGCAATGTTACCCAGGTAGGTTTTAAAGATTTTTCTTATTGTAATCTTAAAAAATGAGTTCACGTGTATGTAAAGATTTTTTTAAGGTTCAAGTTATTTATGATATTTGGCACATCTGCTTTTATGACCAAATTTAAGTAAAGTATGTCGTTGAATCCCTAGCTTTGTTAAGAGGGCTTGACTTCATAATAATTATGGTATTCTGCCATACGATTTCACTTATATGTGGAATCTAAGGAACAAAATAAAACAAATACAGATTCGTAGATACAGAGAACAAACTGGTGATTGCTACTTGGGAGAGGGGTTGGGGACTGGGCGAAAAGGTGAAGGGATTAAGAAATGTTAATTGATAGTTACAAAATAGTCATGCGGATGTTAAGTACAGCATAGAGAATGTAGTCAGTAATATTGTAATGGCTATGTATGGTGCCAGGTGGGAACTAGAGTAATTGGGGGAATCACTTCATAAATTATATAAACATCTAACCACTATGCTGTACACCTGAAACTAATATAAAAAACAATCATGGTATTCTGTTAATAATTATATTTTAGTTTTCACTAGCTTTGCTGCTGAATAAGAACATTTATATGATGGAATTCTATTCAGTCAAATTTTAAAATTATATTAGAAACTCCTATCAACAAGAAATATAATACATATTGAATCTACGAGTAGTCTTCTGAATGTGATCCTGTTCACCCTATAGGGGATTAGGATATAGTAGTATAAGCCTTCCATAACCTAGATTGGTTCAGAGGATCCCAGCTAAATGTGGTTTGTTCAGTGACTATTTCCTGAGTACCTACTATGTGCCAGGTTCTTGAAATGTAGCGCTGGCTGCTATCAAGTTTCCCTTTTCACATTAGGATCTTTTATTTAAACCTGGGACTTTTCATGTAGAGAACTTTAATAGTGTTCTTCTGCAGGAGTAATAAAAGACAGAATGGAATAACAAAAGGCAGAAATTACCACATCATACTTGCTGATTCTCAATATTTTAAAAAGAAAACATAAAAACAAAAACTAGCTCAGTCAATAAAGATTTGATCGTTTGCTAGATAGTATTCCATACAGTTAGTATGCAAAATCTTTAGGGTGTAGTTCTTTGGGTGGCCAAAAAAACTGAAGAACAACTTCTTGTTAGAGAGTGTAAAAACTAAACAATATTTGTTGTATTCTTAATGATTTTGTGCTTCTAACAGAATCAAAATATGGCCAATGTTACCTTAACTGGAGTCCTGTATCAAAGTGAATTAAAGTGAGTAATCTGCTGTTTGATTTAAAACTTAAGATGTCAACTTGTTTAGCTGTCTTTCTTTTGGAAACTAAGAATAGGAAAGAGACAGACCCAAAGGTTATAGAGAATTTGTTCTTGAGTTCTTTGTAAACTATTACCATAGTCACCTGTCATCAGCTAGTATCCCTGTGAGGCTCTTCTCTTTGCTTTGAAATTACATAAGACTCCATTTGAATTGGTATTTGAGTTGTAATATGATTTGGTAGCCAGCAAGGTTGAAAGAAGAGTTCAAGGTTAAGATTCCATGTATACCATTTGTTCATGTGTCATGAGACATCAGCGATTCAAAAGTCAGAGAGAGGTTTCTGTTAAGTAGACCTCAGCTTATAAGGACAAGCGCAGACAATGAGAACTACATTACAAATAGATGCCCCCACCTAGGCAATAGGCCAAAATGGTGGCTAGCAGCTTGGCCTAGGCCAGGAGACAGTCTTAGTCTGGCTGTCACTGGGAGGGGAAACTTCATGGCTTTGCACTTGTGGCTGGGAAGCAACATCAGAGACAAAATTCGTTTATTCACAAATGAGGGTTTTGTACACTTTTGAACCAAATCTAAAAGCTTTGGGTAGTATCTGTTACGACATTGAAGAGAAAAACCTTTCCTAGGTCAAAACAAAACAAAACAAAGCTGTTCTTAAGGGTCATCCTTTCAATTAGCATTTTGACCTAGCTGCTGCTGCTGATTCAGCAATGCCTAGGTGAAGAAGAATATCATGATTTCACCGGGTGGATATCAAACATCCCTAGGGCTCTACTGAGTGTATAGTGGCAAAAAGTTAAAGCAGTGAGAATTGGGCTTGGTGGAGGTGGTGTTCATGTCCTTTATGCCTATTTTTTGACCTCCTAATGAAAATCTAGCTTTTCTAACTATTCCAAGTATATATGTGAAATAAAAAGCAGGAGATATTGATGTCCTAGAAGGATTTTAAACTTCAGAGGGGTAATAATAGTGATAAGAAACAGTCTTTTAAACTTACAAATTTATAAATAGAACACAACTTAGCATACTTGAAAGTAATTCATCTTAATTACTACACTTAAAATATAGATGAGTTCATTTAAAGCTACCAAGCATTTATTGAACACCTACTATGTGCTGGGCCTTGGAGGTACAAGTGGGGACAAACTCAACTTTCTGAGATGGAAAGCTTGGTGTAGAGCAGTGGTTCTTGACCCTGGCGGCATATTAAAATCATCCAGGGAGCTTTAAAAACCCTGATGCCCAGGCCCACACCATACCAATTAAATCAGTATTTGGGGTCTGAGATGCAGGTATCGGTATTTTATAATGCTCCCCAGGTGGTTTCAGCATGAGGCCGTTTTAAGAATGGGGAGTCTAGAGTCTGGTAGGAAAGACACAGGATGAGGACAAATGATAATACAGTATAATCCCTATAATGAAGGTGACATGTACAGGGTACCAAAGGATGTTCTAAGTATCTGAATATAGAGCAGGTCAGACCCAACTGGAGGAGCCAGGAAAACCCCCAGGAAGAAGGTGGCCTCTGAGCACAGTTATAGAGCAGCAGCTCTTGCTAGCTCAAAAAACTATTATTGCCACTATCCTTCTCTTCTTCCCTCCAGACCTTTCCTGGAGCCACCTACAACTAACTACTGCCCATTCACCTTGGAACATGGTTTCTCAACCTCAGCACTACTGACGTTTTGGGCCTGAACAGTTCTTTGTTATGTGGAACTGTCCTGTGCATTGTAACAGATCCCTGGCCTCTACCCACTAGATGCCAGTAGCACCCCACCCCCAATCGTCACAATCAAAAATCTCTCCAGATATTGCCAGCTGTCCCGGGGAGGCGGGCAGAGTCACCCCAAGTTGAGAACCACTGCCTTAGAGTGACTTTTTAAAATAGATTTTTCATCCTAACCTCATGTGAAGCTCTGCCACATTGAAGAACTAAGTGTTGTTGGAGTGCACTCAGAGGAGACGAATGAGAGAAAGTCCAAAGAGGAGGCGTGAGGAGGGGAAGATGGGGCTGGAGAGTGCTAAAGGGTAGACTGGGTTGGTTGGAGAGGAAAACAGAGGCCCAGAGCCTCCAGGGTGAGTGGCTGAGTCCTCTCAGAAATTCTGCCTCTGGCCAGCCAGCTTTTCCTCTGGCCCTCTGCCAGAAGCTACCTGGGGGTTGCAGTAGCCTAATGAAAACAAAATAATTTAACCATAATTTCTATCTTGCTGTTGGCTAGAACCAACACAGCTTCTGTCTGGTTAGTTTCCCTTGTCATATAAATAATTTACTTTTCTCACATAGAAATCTCTTATTATACCCGGTGTTACTTCCAAGTGAACACTGTAAGCAATAAATACCGTATGTTTAATGTATTTGCTAAAACTCTTGTTTTGAATTTAACATCACCAGTGGTCTCCTTCATGTCATTTTCTCTCATTGTATTAACAGACAATCAGAGCTCAACAAAACCCTGCAAACCCTAAGTGAGGTAATCATACTATACCCTGTACCTTGTTTATAATTATTGTTATTTGGGGGAAAGCATGGAGTTCTACATTCCTGGGGAGATATGTATTGAAATTCCCCCCAACTTGTCATGTAAAAGAATGAATGGACTAGTTCCATTACTCCAAAAATCAAAACTAGGTACAATGGATGGATATTACTAGATGTATTTTTCTTCATGTAAAACCAAAAGTTTCTTAAAATGAGGGCTCCAGGAGAATGAGCTCCCTGACACTAGTGGTATCTAAGCAGAGCCTGTATAGCCTGAATAGCTTTTATCATATGTCAGAAATCTGGTAGAAATATGAATTGGATGATCCCTAGGGGTTCTTGTGATTCTAAGATTTAGTGATGCTGTGATTAGTCCTGGGTTGTCTTATCTGAGATGTTCAACTGTCAAAGTAACATATTTATATATTTTTGTTTGTTTGTTTCAGACTTATTTTGTGGCATGTGATAAGGATCAAAGGTCAGTTATTTTTAATACTTTTACAAATATCATTATTTCTCTACTCATAAGAAATAAAGTATTGAGGAGTCTTAGGTTGCAAATTCAAAGGTATTCCTCTAAAATAAATACCTATTAATGACATTTAGAATATATGTATTTTTGTTCTTCCACTCCTCACTCCGTCATAAGCATCTTCTCATTTCTTTATAAAGCACAGACGGGTGGGTGGTGTCAGGCCACTGGCCCCTGGTTCTATGAGGCTAAAGGTCATCAGTGTCCTTAGCCCCGAGGGCTACCAATATGAGCAAGAAATGGCACACAGTAGTCCTGTCAGGGTAAAGGACAGTAGGAGATGAAGGAATACAATATGGAGCTTGGGAGAAGGAGGAGAGGGAAGGAAAAGACTAGAAAGAAAGAGAAAAGAAATTAAAAAGTGTATACAAGGGGCGAATCAGAAATTGCCCAACAATTATTTAAGGTTGCACAGAGTATCATTTTAAATAGTGTCCACTGGCTGTCCTGGCTGCATAAACCAACAGTTAATAGAGCAGTAATCTCACTACTTGAACCTTCAGCATCCTGTGAGAATAAAAGTCCTAGAAATTGACAGTTTCTACTCATCAAACGATTCATTGGTGCAAATAATGGCAAGTCATCCATGAAACTGAAGATTAAATTCCTATCCACTATATGTATTTAGTTCATTTCACTTACTTCTTTTTGTTCTTTACAACATTAACATTATTTTCATCTAAACCAAGACTAAAGTAGAAAGAAACAGAAAGAATGTCTTAAATTTCTAGTTATCTGATAATCTAGGTTGAATCACCAGAGAGATTTTAGATTTGAGACTCTGATATTCATCTAGGCTGGTGTTTGAAAGGGCTCCTATGATGGAAACTCAAATGCCTATAGACATCATGCAAGTAGCCAGCTAAGATATTCCTGTCTTTGCAGCCAAGTTTCAGCCCGGCCTGTTGATTACGCGGGCAGGCAAAATGAATCATCAGCTGTGTGTGGTCAGAGGGTCCCTGGCTTACAGCTCCGTGAATGTAAACCTCTATAAATTTGTCCTATAAAGTCTTTGGGGTAAAGTTCAGACCATGGTAGGTGGGTGTTTACAAGCTTATCAGGGTGACATTGCAAGTTAAGTGTCACTGTCCCCTTCCCTCACTCTTAAATTTGAAAAAAACAATCACAAATATGTAGGTAGGTTTCTGATTTAGTAACACTCTTGTTGTAAATATTTCTCTTTATAGCACATTAAACTGTACACTCACAATAAAATTGAATAAGACTATGAACATATGTGCTGTAATGGTGGCTTTTAAAAGAGTAAAGATTCGCCCAATGGGTAAGTTGTCTTTATCTTTATTGCTGTGATCATTTTCACATGGCTTTGATGTGTTCTTTTTAAAATTGAAAATATAATTAATAAATTTATGTTATGTTACAGCTTTCTGTTTTGACTCTTTTGTCCTTAGGCAGTTTTTAGGGAGCTCTAAAAGGTGATTTTTCCTGCTTTCTTAATAAAATTTCAGTATATTTGAAAACATCATAAACCCTGTTGAGAAGAAGAGCTCTATTTGGAATATTTGATTGCTTGCTGCTGGGATCTGTTTACTTCTGAATTCCTCTTAGGAGTTGCTAAGGAGCAACTGATATTGTGTGCATATAAACCCCCCCAAAGTTATTTACTCAATATTTTTGAGCACCTACTTTGTGAATGTAATTGTCAATATAATGCCATCCAATTTATCACGTTTTAGACGAATGCTCTTTAAAATGCAGTCAGTGCATGAACTGTAATACTTGATGGATCTGAGCCTATACCTTGCCTTATTCTTGACCATGCATTTTCTTCTTTCCTTTTGTCTCCTCCAGAACAGTGCTGCTGTTCTGTCAGAACACCCTGCCCTTCCTCCCCAGAAGAGTTAAAAAAACTGCAGTGGTATGTAGCAAATATGCTGACCTTTTTCCTAAAAAAAGGTCATTTATTCACTATGTTGGCTAAGGAGTTTTGGAATTTTGACAGTGAAATAAGGACTTTCAATTTCAGATCTTCTCAAATATCAGTCACTGAGGATCTGGTTAAAATGCAGATTCTGATCCAGGAGGTCTGGGCAGGGCCTGAGAGTCTGAATTTCTAACAGGCTCCCAGGTAAAGGCAGTGCTGCTGGTTCATGGACTCCACTTTGAGCAGCAGGGGTCTAGACCTTAGAGCAGTGGTTCTCAGCCCTGGCTGCATGTTAGAATCATCTGGGGAGCTTTAAAAACACCAATGCCCAACTCCCACCCTCAGAGATTACGATGTCATTGGTCTGGGGTACAGCCAGGGCTTCTGGGTCGTGTTGAATGGTTGCCAGCGGAGGAGAGTCACTGCTCTGTAGTTCATTTGTATCTCACATGCACCTCTCTGATTCTTTCCTGTAGTGACCTGCAGGATCCAGTTACGTGTCTTCCTGGTCATCCACGTGGCCCACCATTTTCTTCTGGCAATTCCATCCCAGTTGCTCCTCAGGCCACAGTTATTTCCCGAGTCTCCAGCGCCTTCTCTTTTGCTGAGCCTCTTAATCATCCACCTGTAACCCAGAGCCCGACAGGGGTGACTCACCTTCCTTCTCTCCAGCCTTCAGCTCCCATAACTTCTAGCCGTACCATTGATATATTCACTCAGTCTGGAATTCTCTCTTCCTCTATGCCCCAAACTCATCTTTCCCGCACCCTGCCACCTGTGAAATCTCCACTTCCCTCTCCCACCACGTCTGCCCCTTTGGCTGTCATCACAACCAGCACACCTCCTGACAAGACAGGTAAATATGAGGCACTAAGCTGCTTCTATGTTTGTTATAATTCTAGCTACCTGAAATGTAGCTAGCTGCCAGCCTGTCAAATCAAGATATCTGTAATAAGATCATGTTGAGTTTTTCTTTTTATGATAGCTGCTTGATTTCGAGAGCTTTCTTCCTTCTGGCATACATAGAACGTAGATATGGCTGAGTGTAGTTGCTTTGACCAAGAGTAGAGAAACAGCTTTGAGGCAAACACAGATCTTGTTTTATCAAGATGAGTTATTTCATAGGTTTCTTTCTCCTACAAAAGGTTTTGGGTCACTGTTTTCAACATTCTGAAAAGAAAACTTTTGAGCTGTTAAACTCTATTTAGACAGAAGACAAAAGAAAAAAATCGGTGTTCTTGAAAATCAGTCTCAGAGTGACAGAGCTGAGGCTGAGCCAGGGGAGCCGCGAGGAGAGGGGAAACATTCAGAAGTCCCAGGCGTGAGTCTGCATGGGCCCTCACAGGCAGTGTGAGCTGGGATAAGCCATTTAGCTCCTCCTGACTCAGCCCGCTCTACTCAAGGGTGGGAACAATCACACTAACAGTACTAGCTTGAGAACAACGGCATACGTGAGAATGCCATGAAACTGCAAAGGGCTCTCCGGACACGAAGTAGGTTTAGGAGTAAAGAATAAAGGGAAGACGGAAGGAAGCAGAAAGAATTCTGGATACTCCCTCCAGAGTTTCAATTCAGTGAGTAAGAAGTGAGTCTTCCTCTAGGATTTCAGTGGTGTAAGGCAAAGCCGAATTCTTGGTGACATGAGATGGAAGCTCAGGTTGTAGTTCCCGCCTCCCCCACCACAGTGCCACCACATCTTCCCCCGGAGATTTAGAACTTCTGCCAAATGACTTGATATTTCTTCAAATGTGCATTGTTCTCTCTTAGTTAACTTTTTAATAAATGTGAACATTTTAGGCCAAATTATAAAATCATTGGGGCTCTAGTCAAGAGAAGGTTTCATGGCTAAAGAAGAATAAAGTACAATTAAAGTTCATTAGCCTGGGCCTAGAATGCCCACTTTTCTGAAGCTATCCCCATTGACCCTTAGAATCAACCTAACACGATATACAGAAAGGTCAGGAAGGTGGCCTCCTGCATCTGTGCTTCTACTCCTGGGACTTGGGTTTCAGGCAATGAGACAATAGAAGCAAAGTAACATATGCATAAAAGATGTGTTGGTGTATTACCTGGTGGCTAAAAAGTAGACATAACTTAATGGTTCCACATTAAGGTGGAATGTTGAAGTACGACAGTCTCACAATGACTCACATAACACAATGACTGTTAAATAGCCATGCATAAGAACAGCTAGACAGACACTTGGGGGCATTTTTCAAGTCTTGAGTAAAGTGAAAATAACAAAAATTAGTTTGTACACCATGTTTGTAACAGTATGCTATAACACATGGATAAAGATTAGAAAGGAATATGCAAAATTATAGGATTTAGGTGGTAAAATTAACATTTCCGCTACCCCCGTACTTCCCTCATGTCCCTTTGTAGTCAACCACCTACCCACTATGCCCAGCCCCTGACCACCACTGATCTGTTTTGTTTCCCTATGTTGTACTTCTGGTTTTTCTAGAATGCTATATGAAGAGAATCATACAGTATATAGTCTTTGAGTCTGGCTTTTTTCACTTAACATAATACATTGGAAAACTGGAGCTCCATTCATGTTGTTGCATGTATCAGTAGTTTTTTTTTTTTATTACTGAATAATACAGTCTACTGTATGGATGGACCACAGTTTGTTTATCCATCCTCTAGTTGATGCACATTTGAGTCGTTTCCAGTTTGGGACTATCATGAAAAAGGCCGCTATAAATATTCATGAACAAGCCTTCTTAAGACATGTTTTCATTTCCCTGAGGCAAATACCTAAGAACGGGTTTTCTAGGTCACAGAGTCTATGTATGTTTCTTTATTAGTGATTTTTCTATTATGTGTTCATAAAGTGATTTTGATTCTCTGTTATAGAAATTGTTCACACCAGCAGCATCAGTGTTTCTGATCTTGAGAACCAAGTGTCTCAGATGGAGAAAGTTCTGTCCTTAGGCAGCTTGGAGCCTAACCTCGCAAGAGAAATGATAAGCCAAGTCAGCAAACTCCTTCATTCCCCTCCGGCCTTGCTGGCCCCGCTGGCCCAAAGGTATGACTTAGCAAACTGACCCTCTAATGATAACGATGCTTCTCACTTGATTAATTATAACAAAGTATTTTTCTCCCACTACAAGGTTCATAATGACTTGTTAAATTGCTAATCTGTATTCTGCTAGAAAGGGGAAAACAAAGTGGGAGTGCTGAATCTGAACTGTCACTTATCTTCATAGATTGCTAAAAGTAGTGGAAGACATTGGCTTACAAGTGAATTTTTCAACCAAGATCATAAGTCTAACCTCCCCTTCTTTGGCTCTGGCCGTGAGCAGAGTGAATGCCAGTAATTTCGACACAACTACCTTTGCTGCTCAAGACCCTGAAAATCTCCAGGTACATCTTAAAATATTGTGGAAACAGCCTTTTCTTGTATATGATTGTAGTCTTCATGTACTTCATGATTGAGGCAATTATTGCTTATAGTCAGGGGTGATATTAAAAATATTTAACATCTAGAACAATGAGGCACCATAAGATCAAAAAAAAAAAGGACATTGGTCTTCGCTGGAGCAGGATCTCAGAGGTCCTTGTTGTGCCCAGTGTTAACCCTTTAGCAGCTGGGTTGTGGAAGTTTGGGCGGGTG